ATCTAGGCCCAGTCTGTCTGTCAAGCAGATGGTAACTTAATTTATAAAGATAGTATATTTTTACAGGTATGAGTTATGACACTACAACAATATTCCGGTCTGGGAGCTATTTAATCCCTGCAACAAATGCTTTATTGCAATTTACACACATAGAAAGAGGTGGTCCACATTGTACCAAATACAAAAATGCTCAAGTGAAATAAGATTTTGTTTAGTATGTAAAAATTAGACATTTGCTCTTTGAGAAGTAAAAGCAATTTATTAAAAGTGAAATTCTGTTTCATTCATTTGCTTATGCTGTTTAAAAGTATTCTGTATTTTGAAATAAAATATTTTGCTCTATTGTTTACTCATAACACGTCACTACCACCGTAACGGGTAGTGATTACGGTGGTAATTGTTTAAACGAAATTATTTCCCTCCAGAAGAAATATTTTATTAAAGACAGTTTTTTGTATTGATATACAAACTAAAAAAACGAATCGTACATTTAAACACATAAAACAGTTTTGTCACGTGATTTTCCCCCCTTAAGAAATATGGCGACTTGTTTCGTCAATTATAGTGTAATGTGACGCTATTTCCGCTTCCTTGCCCTCCGTAGCAATGGTGGGCATGAGCGTCCTCCGGTCTGCAGCCGCTATTGCGGCCAAAATAAACCCCTTCAAACCTGGAATTACAAAAAGCGGTTTGCTTACTAGGACTGTGAGGGAGCGCGATAAAGGTATAAGTCATATGTATCCTCTGTGTGTATGTAGTTATTTTTTAGGATTTAAATTACTTTGGGCCTTGACCTTGGAAGCACTGAACTCAATGATCAGTTAGCTACTATTGACTAAACAGGTCATGTAGTTTTACGCGTAATATGCAGCCAAGAATTATGCAACACCTGTTTGATTTACTTTTTTTTACATTTCATACTTGTTCAGTCGTAACTGAAATCAAATGCCATACATTTGCTATGATGAAGTGCCTTGCGATTATGCTATCTACCTGTCTGTCTGTCTATGTATCTATGCATGAAAATGTGTCTGTTCTGATACGGAGAATTGAAAACAATTCGAAGTGTTTGATTTGCAGTAGCGGTGCGTTTTGGGAGCCATGGAAAACAGATGTTTGTCATCAAGCCAACTGATTATTACGATAGGCGATTCCTCCACCTTTTGGCAAGTATTAAAATTGCTTCTCTGGCTATGATGTAATTGTTATCTGGGGAAGGATATTACATTCTGCGAGCACTTAAAGACGAATTTCAAGATTATAAATAAAATATTTACCGTAAAGTGGGTCTACTGTATACATGCTTGTCATCTTGATGTTTGTATGCTGTTTAAGAAGAGGCAGGTTTTTAAAGCAAAACTTAATCAGTAATGTTTTGAGTAATTTTACATTTAAATGTATTTATTAGACGCTTTTGTCCAAAGTGATGTACAAGTAATGTGTAATGTATGTATAATGTGAAGTTATAATATGTGTATAACATAGATGTCTGCATATTTTCGTGTTTTATAGAAATACTACATTTTACTCACTGGAATTCCAGTTGCAGCAATCGTTGCATATGTAAATATTTTCATTGGTAAGTTTTAATTAATAATTAATCCAATTAGTCTGAACCTTCTTTATATTTAACTTGTATTGCATGTGGCAGTAATTGCATTCGTGATTTTATAAATCGTTTTTAAGGGGAGGCTGAGCTAGCTGAGATTCCAGAGGGCTATGTTCCTGAGCATTGGGAATATTATAAGGTATGTCTGACACTTAAGTTAAAAAAAAATATTTGTATTTTAGCTTCCATGTCCCACTACTAAAAAAAGTAAAAAAAAAAAAAAAAAATCAAAACCTTGTTGCTTGCAAGTTTGAAGTAAGATATACTTTTATGATAAACAAAATATAAAAAAAAATGTCTCCGTAATTCAGATTAGGCATATTTGTTGTGTTCATTTTTATTGAGTCAGTTTTGCTATAGATGTATCTATTATATAGCCCAGAGAGGATGCTTGTGTATGTGAATTCTGATTTGGCCATGTGTCAATTCACCTCTCCAGCACCCAATCACACGCTGGATCGCTCGGACCTTCTACGACCCCCCCGAGAAGGACTATGAGAAAATGATGGCGCTGATCCAGATTGAGGCTGAGAAGGCTGACATGAGGTGTGTGACCGCAGAGGCACTAAAAATGAATAACGTGCATTGTGTTTTGTTGACTTTAAAAGTGAAGATCTTCAGGTTTGCTTAGGGGTCTGTTCTCTTCATGATCCATTCGTCTGTTTTTCTTTAGGTTGACACAGCTGGAAGTTCGCAAACACATGCGTCACAGAGGGGACGGGCCCTGGTTTCATTACGAAACGGTGGACAAGACTCTCATTGACAACAGCATCAAATCTACTCCTGACAATTAGGCCATCTCGCAGATGAGCGGACTCTCGTCTTAACCGTGAGAAACGGCCTATTGATAAATTATGTATATGTTTGTATAATTGCGCAGTTGCAAAAATAAATTGTTTAAGTGTAATATGCTTGTGGGTGTTTTAATAATCAAGCCCAATTTCAAGAACAATCCAGGAAGCAGGTGGGAATGCATTTCACTACACAGTACAGTGTGTGATTGTGTACGTGACAATCAAATATTGAATCTTGTAACTTGAAACTGATCAGCAATGAATAGTATTTTGGAGACTGACTTGCGGTTCACCAAAGTCTTTGATGTAACTCGATATTGATTACCCAGAATTTATCGTTATTGTAACTCCAGTTTCTTGGCTGCAGTCCCTGTGTATAATTACTGAAACAGTGCATCAGAGTTAAGGCCTGGACTTCAACACCATGATAATTTGAAATCATATGTGACACAACAAGCCAACACAGAGGCTTGTTGTCAGTTTTGGTGGTAACATTACTATTACGTTCCGACAGTAGTGCATTACTGTAATTGCACTACTTATGGTGGTAACGAGTAATGTAACTAATTACCTTTCCAAATAACGCAGTTAGTACTGAAATTTCAATGAGTGTGTCACTAGTTACTTTTGCGTGAAAATATTAATGGATAAATGCAGTCTATTCCTCTAATTTCCTATTTATGATCCAATGTCATTTGACCTTAAGGTGGCACATGAATCGGTGATATTAGGTACAGCGATAGATAAAATTTGACACATTGTTTTGCGTTGTCACAGCAGCAACACTAATAACATTTAAAGTGTCTATGAGGTCATTTACTCACTGCCACAAGACGGCAAAGATTTTGCTACTGAATACTGATTTGATATGCAGCATGTTAATGAGGTGACTATACATTGCTTAACCTACTGTTAATTTTCCCGATTAGGCTATATAACACACAATAGGGTTATACTGTATATACACAGTATATGGACAAATGTATTGGGACACCTGGCCATTACATCTACAAGAACTTTTGATGTCCCTTTTTAAATCAATAGGCATCAAAGTGGAGTCCCCACTTTGCAGCTATAACACCTGTCACTCTTCTGGGGAGGCGTTCCATGTGATTTTGGTTTGTGTCTGTGGGAATTTTTGCCCAATCATCCAGAAGAGCATTGGTGAGGTCAGGCACTGATGTTGGACGTGAAGGCCTGGCTCACAATCTACATTCTAGTTCATCCCAAAGGTGTTTGATGGGGTTGAGGTCAGGGCTTTGTGTGGCATGTTCTTCCACACTAAACTCACCCAATCATGTCTTTATGGACTTTGCACTGGGGCACAGTCATGCTGGAACAGCAAAGGACCTTCCCCAAACTGTTCCCACATAGTTGAAAGCATAGAACTGTCCAAAATATCTTGGTATGCTGAAGCATTAAGAGTTCCCTTCACTGGAGCTAGGGGGCCCAGCCCACCCTCTGAAAAACAACCCCACACCATTATCCCTCCCCCACCAAACTTTACAGTTGGCACAATGCAGTCAGGCATGTAATGTTCTCCTGGCATCTGCCAAACCCAGACTCATCCGTCAGACTGCCAGACAGAGAAGCGTGATTCGTCACTCCACAGAACACGTTTCCACTGCTCCAGAGTCCAGAAGGGGCACAACTCCATTCAACGCTTGGCATTGTGCTTGGTGACGTGAGGCTTGTACGCAGCTGCCTGGCAATGGAATCCCATTCCACGCAGCTCCTGGCACCAGGTTTTAGTGCTTTTGTCTAATATAGAGATTTTTCATAGGAGCGATAAAATGGTCTTGTAGACCAACTTTTCTGAGAACTTTATGTAATTTCACATTGTGACACAGGTGTTTTTTGGTTGTTTTGTTATCTATTGAACAACGGCAATGCTGCCTAATTCTTTGTAGTGGTCAAATCTGAATTAATTGATTTTTAGCGCAATCTTAAAAGCTTGTGAAAATTATGAATTTCTATGATAACTGGCATACTTTGTAAGATTTTGGTATGGCATGTAGTTCATATTGAACTTCCAATCTGTCGGCCATTGATGAAAAGTGTCTGTTCTCAATAAAATGGCAAATGATCTTTAGTTTTTAATCAATTATATATAAACAAACGGCATATTCAAATTATATTACATGAACGAATGTCAACCCTCTAACGCAAACGCTGGGGTTGAATGAGCGCTCGAAAGGGAACAGTGACCCCTATCGGCAAATAATAAATATGAAAATTTTATAACATTTTCCATTACATCGAGTTTTAGATCAAGCAATGAAAAATTAGTTCAAATGGCACTTTCGCCGTTTGAACTCATTTCTCATTGCTTGATCTAAATTTAGAATCTGAATTATAAAATATCTTTAATAATAGTTGTTATATTTAATTAAAAAACACGTCAAATTCGTCAATCAAGAAAAAAAAATACTACGGCAAAGGGTAAAGAATGAAAGGTATTTTTTATTTAATCTGGCTAAAAGACTAAAATAGACCCCCGTGATATAAAAATCTAGGTCTGTGTAAACATTGCCCATGTTTTGTAGTGTCGCTTTCTCGGGATGCCGGAGGAATGTAGTCTGTGCGGGTTAAAAATAGCACCTCTGCCTGACAAGCGCTCCGAGGCTCTGGAATAGCTGTGGCACTGTGGATCCGGAGGAGGTAACGCGAAGATGGCCACGGATTTAGGGGAGCTCATGGTGCCCTATATGCCCACCATCAGGGTGCCAAGAACTGGAGATAGAGTTTTCAAGAGTGAATGTGCCTTTTCTTACGATACCCCAGTAAGTCCGCAGTTTGACCCGGGTCGCGCTGGACTAACCGCACGTTTCGTTTAGCCCAACATTACTAGAGGTTAACCGGTTAAAAACTCTTAATAAACTATTGCCGAACACACTCTAACACTGAAAACAAATTTCTGTCCATAAATACATTGTCTGCCATTTTTTAATATATTGCTGATGCCACTGACTACAATCAAGACATTAGATTTACTAAAACAAATTAAATCTATTTGGTTGAGGTTCCTAATAATAAGTTTATCCCGTTTCAAGAAAATGCAAAATACAAAAGAAAATACGATCTTACTATTGTCTTTTACCTAACCTTACATGCATCCGTTTTGTAAGAACTGAAAACTTAATTGTGGTACTTGTTATATTCTGGTGTAGCAGTGTTTTTGATATGGATGTATGACAATGAAATGGCTGTTTAAAGAAGGACATGCATCTGTTTATAATATATATATATTAATTTAAAGGTTGACAATACTGAACATGCACAATCATAAACAATTTAATGGTTACTTGACTGTCTGGAGGCCGTGCCGTCTGATTGAATACAGGATATTTTTATCTGCTGTCTCTTGCAGCTAGTGTGTCACATTAATGATTCCGTAAGTGTTTTTCCGGATTGTATAAAACCGCGGCCAAATCCCAGGTACGCAGTTTATCTGCAGTGTTTTCCGCAGATTATTTGGGGTCTTTGAATAAAATCGTGATTATGAAGCTTTTCCTATACATGCATAGATCAGATATTTGTTCATTATCAAGCCGTTTTACAAGAGCTCTGTGGCCTCCAAATTTAGCTGGACTTTTGAGCCAAAGGAAATGTTTGAAAAGCACCAGGGAGTCCAGCGGCCTCTCATAAATCTTATATCTAATATATTTAGCGTATGAGCAAATTCTTTGATAAACTTAGGGGGAAAAATATATAACAGGGAAACCTTATTATACTTGGACCGCAACCCCAGTAGGACAAGATAGGAAGGAAGCTACTAATTATGGGGGGGGGGTGGGTGATATAAAAAAAAATTCAGGACGTAATTGGACCCAAAATTATATGCTTTCATGGGGCCCAAAATCTCTAGCTGCACCCCTGTCATATGTACATCTAGCAAAGATATCCCCTAATATCTAACGCTGCATTCAAACACCATGTGCTTCCCACATGAGGATGTAAGCATGACTATCATGCTTTCAAACTCTCACGTCCACATAAGAAATCTTATGGCAAATCTGTATTATTCCATTATACACCTAAAATTAGCTACATCAAAAGCGCTGGGGTAGTTTGCAAACCCTACAGACTTACTTACATAAATGTGTGTAACACACAAATGCATGTGCAGACTTGTCTCGAATTGAAAATCTCATGCCAGCCAGCTGACCGAAGTTGGAAACCCTGGTATGATATTATCATGGTGCTCACTTATTTCCAGTTTGTGAACCATGTGAACTGAACTGGACTTTGTTGCTCTGGTTTGTTTGGCGTGGGAAAACCTGATGTAAGGGATCTTTGAAATCCTTGAGAGTTTCCACACTCTCATCCTCCTCGCATCCAACCTGTGTCTGTTCCCAGGAGTCCGATGGTGGCCTCTATGTGTGTATGAACACATTTCTGGGCTTTGGGCGAGAACATGTGGAGAGACATTACCGCAAGACTGGACAAAGCATATACCTGCACCTGAAACGCACCGTCAAGGAGGTAGGGATTAGGACACGCAGGGCTGTGTTTTAAATAGTCCTACAGTCTTTCAGCACCTTATTATACTTCATGTTAATGTTGGAAAAGCATAGTGTCAAACTGTAATATAATTCAATATGATAATTGCACACAGCAATTGTTTGAGAATGTAAACAATATACAAATGTATAATCATTAATTCCTTGAGAAACAAGATGTATGTGTGCATGGTCTATAGTGAGAGATCCTGTGTGTTTGATATTTGTAGATCTCATTCAGGCAAGCTGAGGTACTCCTCTTATGTTTGGATGGTTTCATGTCTCCAGTATACATTTCTAAAATATTCAAACAAATTTTACGGTGTTTTAATTTTAATTTAGAATCAGTTTTTTTTTTTTTTTTTTAAATAGGCAAGCAAATTTTATTGTATATTTTGCAATGACAATAAATGTGTCATGTCCCATGCCTTAAATTATTGTGTTTTCACTCTATTGGTCTGGCCTAGTTTGAGTTGCACTTTGAGTTGAGCTTTTTCTTTGCACTATCTGAGCCAGGTGTCTGGTGTCAGGCGGAATAGTGGAATTCATCATGTTTGATTCATTGCCAGGTGTGATAAGGAGACAATACGCTTTTGTTTCCAAAGGGATGTTAAATATGGAGGCGCAATACCAGTCAAAAGTCAGGATAGAATCATTTGCTTTTCAGCAAGATAACAACCCTAAGCTCACCTTGAGGTTATGATGTGAGTATTATCTTCTGAACAAGAAATGAGATGGAGTGCTGTGACAGATGACCTGCCTCCCACAACCCCCCAAATTAAACCCTATAGAGCTGGTTTGGGATGAGTTGGATTGAAGAGTAAGTGCAACGTAGCCAACTTGGTGCCCAGAACTTGTGGAAACTCCTTCAGAAGTCTTGGAGAAGCGTTCTAGGTGGCTGCATGGCCGGATGCTGGTTGAAAGAATGCCAAGAGTCTGTAATGCTGTGTAATAGCTAGAGTCTAAAATGTTGAGATGTTGAACACTTATCTTGGTCATTGAAATATTAGATATGTATTACTTCATTGCCTCAAGGTCTTTCATTATACCTAAAATAGAGACAAATCCATTAAAAGCAGGTGTGTTCAGAATATTCACTGGTACTGTATTTCATTTGTTGATACTTTTTTACAGAATATTCACAGCATGGCTGAGAGAAAGTGGTTCTGGGCAATTAGCAATTCAGTTGAAATATGCACAGTGTTTTCCATATCACTCTGTGAAAAATTCTGTCTGGGACAAGCATCTGTCCCCATTTATCTGTTAATGTAAACAGGATAATTGGATTCCGCTCCTCATTTTCACAGAGCAGGGGCTGCTGGTATAATCTGATTCCGTGGGTGGTTAATTGGCCCTACAGGAGGTGACTGGCTGGCGGGATCCTTCCCACCAGCTGTTTCCAGGCACTTCTGGTTCACTGCCGCCGCCATGCTTAATGCAGCATGGGAGCTTGTCAGCTGGTACCGTACCTCGCGACGGGTCAGTAGCAGCCAGTGGCCACATCTGGATCAGTTTGACCCAGTCTGATAGGTTCCTCCATACACTGCGATTATGAAGCTTGTCACTACGGATTCCCCACAGTTGCTGAGGAATCTGTTAAGCTTTACTGGTTGTTCAGGTGGGCAATGTGTGGCTCAGCCAGTTAAGACTCTGCGCCCATAAGCAGAAGGTCGTCGGTTCCAATTCCAAAGTCAGCAGCATGATTTCAGCACTGGGCCCCTGAGCAAGGCCCTTAACCCCCAATGTTCCAGGGACTGTCTGAAACTCTCTTTCTCGTTGTATGTTGCTTTGGAGAAAAGCGTATGGTAAATAAATAAATCCAAATATTTCTGATGTTTATTGATGTTTTTCACAGAAAGCCACTCATGCTGCAGGGGGCGCTGCGCCGCGAAGACGGAATGGAAAGGTGTTCTTAGGTGAGACAGCTCTCGGCAGCGCCACATCTGAGCAGCGCACAGTTCGAATTCAGTCTCCAGTCTTGGAAACGTCCGAGTGTCTCAGTTGTTTTCCTTGTGACGTGTGACTGCTTTGTTTAACGTGCAGCGGCTCTCGGGAGGAAATGGACTGTGAAAGTTCACAGTAAAGCTGTGGAGTTTACAGTTAAACCTTAATTATTCATACGCCTGCTATAAAGTTTACAGTTCGACCAGGAATGTTTCGTGGTACAACTGTGAACTTCCGTTTTACTTCGAAGTTCATGGTCAGCTCTTCTGGTGTTTAATTATTCTGACAGTGAAGTTTACAGTTTGACTGTAGATTTCACAGCAGAACTTTGAAAAGTGTCCCAATGCGCTAAAAAAAAATCATGGTCGAACTGTGAGAGCGCAGAGTAAAACTGTCAAACTAATTTTCATTTTTACTATGAAATTTCACAGTGCATTGTGGGAGGGCCGTGTGTCACGAAGCGAGATTTGTTGGTTAGCTCGATGATTTGTTGCAATTTAAAGTATCCAAGTTTAAATGGACTTAATCTTCCTTCACTTACATTTAGCCTGGGCTATCTTAAGTCTGGGAAGTTATCTTGCTAACCCAAAAATCCAGCTTTGTGATACAGACCCCAAGTCCTGTGTTGCGTATTATGTCGTTGTTGCAGCCCAGGTCTGTTTGTACACAACAGGTGGCTCTGTCATGTGGTGCTTTTACCAGTTGACAAATCAAGTCTCCTCTGGTGCCGCGTCTGAAAAGTGACGCTGAGCTCCGGGCCACCAGGCCCAGTGAAGACTAAATATAGCCCATTTATTTGTATCTGATCTAAATCTAACATACCACATGTCTGGCCAGGTGCTGCCCGCTTTTAGGCTGGGCTGGCGGGGGGGGGGGGGGGTTCTTCTTCCTATTGGCTGGTTTCAGACAGCTGCTATTCTCCATCAACCTCCATCAACGGTAATGCACAATTTCTGTGGGTGCGGGAGGGCGATGTTTTCAGTCCTGAAAACATGAAGCGGGTTGGTTCCTTTTCACAATCGTGACCCTTTGTCTCCAGCAAGTTAGCCTGGGTGGGCTGTGGGGTCCCGAATGAAAGATGCCCCTCCCGATGGACGTTGCCTTGGCAACGGGCAGTTACATGACTCAGCCCGTCACATGATGTTTGCCCATGCTCTGTGCCACTCAGACATCCTCTGTTGCCACCGGTCCGGGGAAAAGTGCAGCGTCCGGGGCACGAATTCTATACCAGCCTCATGATCTAACCATATTACGCCCTTCCTGTGATGCCATACGTAGTCTGGGCAAAATGTAGGTGAACGAATATGAAGTCCATTTAAACTGTGGCACCTTAAATCCGACAAGTTACCCCGATAAGCCAGGAACCCCGCAGCCACTGGGCTGTTTGCTGGTTTGTTTACGTGGTGATTATGCTAAGAATAGATGTGAGCATTGTCAGCTGTAATGACATGGCTCTCATGACCCAGATTCACATGGCTTCCACTTAAAAAAAAACACTCTAGTCCACAGTCAGAATTCCTGCCTTTGTTTGCCTTTCATTCAAGGAGAAGCCCCTTGAAAACCAACAAATGGATCCTGCTGTTGTACCCTTGTGCAAAGCCTTCAATGTGAATCTGAAAGCATTATGGGTAGAAAAACGGTGTTTTTGATGTGAAAGCGTCAGTCATGCACGTAGATGTAAATGTCAACAATGGTGTCCCGCATATTAACATTGACGTGTATGAGTTTAACAGGTGAGGTGTGAGTGATATGTCGCATCCAGAAACCACGCCGTCAGCTGAAAGCCAGACACAACCTGCAGACCCTGGTGAGGTTTTCCAAAACGTTTCATATGTTTCCTTGAAGATATCGAGCTCAACCGGGATTTCAACGGGGATGACTATGACTATGATGACGAGGCCAAGCTGGTCATATTCCCCCAACACTTTGAGATCCGGCTTCCCAATATCGAGGAACTGCCCGCACTGGTAAGGGCGTTTGCCTGGGTGGGCCACAGACACGTTTTTTATTTACGTTTAAATGTCTTTGTGGCCTGTTTTGTTTCACAATTTTGACCTGGAAATGCTGAGTAATGAAAATTTATTCATCCATTTATCCAGTTATTCATTCATTCATTCATTCATTCATTCATTCAATCATTCATTCTCCATCACTTATCCGGGGTCGGGCTGCGGGGGCAGCAGCCTAAGCAGGGATGGCCAGTCCTCTCCCTCCCCAGGCACCTCCTCCAGCTCCTTCAGGGGGACACCAAGGCTTTTCCAGGCCAGCTTATATAATCACTCCAGCATATCCTGCCCCAGGTTCTCCTCCCGGATGAACATGTCCAAAGCACCTGCCCAGGGAGGCCTCCAGGAGGCATCTGAGATAGATACCCAAACCACCTCAACTGGCTCCTTTCGACGAGGAGGAGGAGCAAATGGCATCAGGGGCAAATGATTTTGAAAGGAACCATCATGAAAATTTAATGTATTTTATGAATAAGAGCAAAAAAAAACCCAGATGCTTTATTACATTGATTAATTACTTAGATCCAAACAGATCTTGGAATTCTCTCTTCCATGCATTTCTGGAACTTCTTTGTTCCCATCAGCCTAGATCGTTTTTTATCACGGAAACTTAAAAATGATCGTAGACTTTCTCTGTGGTGCGCTGACTTATCTTTATATATTTGTGTACATCCCCGCAAGTCTGTTATCTGTTACATTTCAGTAAGAGCATCCCTGATTGGCTGGGCTTGTTAAGCTGTGGCCAATCAGCAGGACTGCGGTTCTAAAACATAGCCATCACAGTTTTTAAGAGACCTGCACATAGAATATTGAGATGACCTTTTTGGTTTTTCTGTACTTCTGTACTTTGTGATTTCAGAGTCTCATCTGCTCTTCTGACCTCTGCAGGTGACGATAGCATGCGACGCCATGCTGAATGCCCCGTCCCCCTACAGGAAGCCTGAACCTCTACCCTGGGATGATGAGATCCAAGTATCAAAACATGCCCGGGGTCTCCAACAGCTGGACAATGGGGTTCTGATCCCCCCCAGGTAAATCATTCAGGGTGTAGGTGTGATGGGGCAAGCTGTTCGCTCAGCGAGCTGAGAGATGTGGTCTTATTGCCCGTCCCAACAGAGGCTGGAAGTGCTCCAGGTGCGATTTGCGTGAGAACTTGTGGCTGAACCTGACGGACGGAGCAGTGCTGTGTGGGAAGTGGTTCTTCGATGGTACAGGAGGCAACGGACATGCACTGGAGCACTACAGGGAAACCAGTTATCCCTTGGCGGTTAAACTGGACGCCATCAGTCCAGATGGGGCAGGTGAGGGCCTTCATCCCCAGCTGCCAACCCTCACACATCTCACTGTAATACTCATGCTTTCTGACTCGTGCTCACTCAAGAAATATTGCAGAAAATCCATATTATTCCATCATAAATCAAAATTTAGCTACATCAAAAGTGTTGGGGTAGCTTGCAAACTCTATAGACTACTTACAAGGTAATAACATGTAAATGTGCGTGCAGACTTGTGTCGAATTTAAAAACCTCACGCCAGCCAGCTGGCCGAAGTTGGCAGCCCAGCTTGAAAGTACTGGAAACTCGTCCTGTTTTAATGAGAACTCAAAGGTTTAACAGACTGTGGTGATAAGGAAGTTTAATCTGCATTAGACCAATGGTTCGCAAACTATGCTATATTGGAGGTAGGCAGGTTCCCCTCTAGTGATATGCAAACGTATCAGTGTGTTTAGCGTTGGTCATGACGGCGGTGCGCGGTAAGGGACAGTCGACAGCTTTTACCGTTGCCACTGGTCTTGGTCTCCACCCCGGTTGACCAGCTTTGAGAACCACTGCAGCAGGCGTGAGTCTGACAGCCACGTGACCGTTTCTTCCTCAGACGTTTACTCGTTCGATGAAGAGGAGGCTGTGCTGGACCCTTGTCTGGCGGAACACTTGGCCCATTTTGGCATCGATGTGTTACAGAAGAAGAAGGTGAGCTGGTACTCGAAGCGGGGAGTGGCGGAGGCACCGTTACCAGGGGCTCTGGATACAGTCGACCCTTCTGCGTCACGACATTTCCCGTTGCAGCGCTGATATATCGCGGGGTCCGCATTAGAAATTAAATGGTCATTTTTTTTGGAGTTTTTGGGAGTTTTGTGAAAGCCATAGATGACATACAGAGGCCAGCAGACGACACAGAAAATGTTCAGAAACTCATAAATGCATAAAATATATATACAGTGCTGGCAGAATGCTCTAGTCCAGGGGTCACCAACCTTTTTGAAACTGAGAGCTATTCCTCAGGTACTGAGCCATACGAAGGGCTACCAGTTTGTAACGCACCCCTAAACTTATCTAAACTTCATGTGTAATAAACATGTTTTAAATGCTTTTTTGTTAGATATTGTCATTTTCAAATCTATATAAATGCAAATGTGATTAAAGAAGAATAGCAGCAGGATAAAATTACATTTTTTTGTGCTATTTTTAGAACAGGTCCGTGGGTGACTCGTGTGGTCCTTGGGGCATCCTGCTGCCCGCGGGCACCATGTTGGTGACCCCTGCTTTAGTCCCTCCCACCAGCTTTGTGTCATTCGTTGCCGCTTCTCGCCCCCCCCCCGTGCAGCCCGAGACGGGCCGCATGACCAACGGGCTTCCAGCACACCCCGGCGAGTGGGAGCTGATCCAGGAGTCGGGCCACAAGCTGAAGGCCGTATTCGGCAGCGGATACACGGGCATCAAGAACCTGGGCAGCAGCGGCTACCTGGGCGCCACCGTCCAGGTGTTGTTCAGCATCCCAGAGTTCCAGAGGGCGTGAGTAGACAGCAGGCAGACGGGCTCCCACAGACGACGCTTTTCACTGCTCTGCTCTTAGGCTGCCCTCTGATGATGAGTCAGCGCCCCATCCTGGGTTACTCCCTGCCTTGTGCCCTGTGATGAGTCAGCGCCCCATCCTGGGTTACTCCCTGCTTTGTGCCCTGTGATGAGTCAGCGCCCCATCCTGGGTTATTCCCTGCCTTTCGCCCACCTGGGATAGGCTCTGGATTCCCATGACCCTGAGTAGGACATGCAGGTATATAGAAGATGGATGGATACATGGGAGTTGCATAATAGTGCAATTCATTTCCTTTATAGAATTTTTTCTCCTGTTTTTAAACATGATTAAGGTCAATATTTAACGTTAACAGGAGGCACAGTGGGTCATACCTGCAGGGCTGTGTTTCCCAACCCGGTCCATGGGGACCCCCAGACAGACATTTTTGCTCCCTCCCAGCTCCCGGTAGCAAAATTTGTGGGTCTGTGGGTCCCCAAGGAGCAGATTAGGAATCGCCGCTCTAGGGTCATGGGTTCAAATCCTAGCTCCACTCTGTGTCATGCACATGAAGTTTGCCGGTGCTTCTGGTACCCCATAGGTTTTTTCAGGTAGTGCTGTTTCCTCACACGCTCCAAAGACATGCAGATTGGTTTGTCTAAATCACCCACAGAGTGTGAGTGTGTGTACCCTGTGATGGACTGGCATCCCATCTGGGGTGAACATTAGCCATGTGTCCTGTACTGCCAGAGCCAGAAAAGGCGATAGAAGATGGATAGAATGTTCTGATGTAATATTACATATTAACATTTGTGTGGAATCTATTGTTAACATTAACAGACATCGGGGAGTGGGGTGGGGGGGGGGTTCACAAAGCAGGATTTCGTGCTTAGCCACATAAGTTGTTGGATTTAATGTAAGTGAATGAAAATAAAGTCCATTTAGCCCAGAATACCATAAATCCAACAACTTATCTGGCTAAGCAAGAAATCCTGCTAGGGTCACATATGTATCTTATACATTGTGTATATTAGGGGTGGGCAATCTTATCCACAAAGGGCCGGTGTGTGTGCAAGTTTTTGGGATAACCTTTAGGTCAGCTGTTCAAACCCAGGTGTGAGGAATCTTCAGCCAATCAGTCCACTAATCAGAAACCTAATTAAGGAGTTACAGCGAAAACCTGGATACACAGCGGCCCATTCTGGGTAAAATTGCCGACCATGTCATGTCTTGTCATGCATGTCATGTTTAGCACACTGTTTTCTCCAAACTTGTTATTTTTTTTCACTTATCCCACAGGTATGTGGGGAATCTACAGAGGATCTACGATTATTCTCCTCTGGATCCAACAAAGGACTTTGGCACACAGATGTAAGTGTTGGGTTTTGAGTCTCGTTGCATTATGTGGATGAAAATCATGTACTTGCCTGAGAATCCTCGTGAGGAGCTTATCGCTAATGCTAACCAGTGTCCGCTGCCCACAAGATGGCACAACAAATCCAGATTTACTATAAGGCACCGTTTCCTGGGGTCAGATAACCTGGTTTACAGTAACGCACGGAAAGGCAGAGGTCAGGCGGCCTGAATGCTCTGAATTGTGGCTTTGGGGGGTTTATTTACCGTGCGGCTTCTCCCCGGCAGGGCTAAGCTGGGCCACGGCTTGCTGTCGGGGCAGTACTCCAAGCCACCGGTGAAAGCCGAACTCATAGAGCAGGTGGTGAAAGAGGAACACAAGGCGCTGGAAAGGGTAGGTGACGCCTGATATCTACCAAGAAGCTGCCAAAGTGTCATTAACCTCCCTTTGGGGGAACGGTAGCCATTCGGCCATGTAAATGATCAGTGTCGTGTTTTGAAATTGAGACCCTTATGCATGTTAGACCTCAGACTTGGACATAATCCTTTCCTAGAAATTCTACTTGCTAGTGTTTTTATTTTAGATATTGTACTTGACTTGAGAGTCAATCCTCAATCGATATGGGCTTCATGGTGGACGACCCGGCAATAGGGAGTTCAGTGTTTCCCAACCCGAGCCGCGGTGTCAGTCCACAGAAAAATGGAGGGGATATTTTCCTAAATTTCTTAAGCCAGCCACTGTCTTGCCACATGATGCATGGTGAGGTTCTGCTAATGACGCCGATGACATAACATTAAACAAACCTTCTAAAACTGCAATGATTCGTCGATTTCAAATTGCAGCACTCAGTGAGCGATCAATATCACTTGCTTCCCCCCAAAAAATCTTATTTCTGTATTAAAAAACACGGATATAATTCAAGCTTTTATTAAAATGATTATAATATAACAAAGTATTACTAATTCAAGCGTTTATGAATACAATTATAATAATATAATACAATATTACACAATAATAATTTAAGCTCTTATTAATAAAATAATGATAATAAAATATGTATAGTTTTATTGGATAGCATTAAATTATTTTTTCATAATATATTTTTTTGTGATTGCCCATTACTGCCCCTCCTTAACCCAATTTTAAATTAATCCCAAAATAATGATAACTATATATGAGCAATTTGTACTCTACAGCTTAATAGTACGGGAACAACAGAGCAGAGTATCAGTCTCGCTTTAAGGTAAATGATGTACTCGAATATGACCTTGGAGCACATGGAGAACGTTCCTCGTGACCCTCAAGGTTTGTCTGATGCTCCCCTCCTCCCCCAGCCCCAGCAGACGGGCATCTCCCCCAGGATGCTCAAAGCCCTGGTCGGCATGGGACATCCAGAGTTCTCCTCCAACCGCCAGCAGGATGCTCTGGAGTTCTTACGGCACCTGATCGGCATGGTGGAGGTACGTGTGGCTCTTCGATTAAGCCCTACATTGTGCCAGATTAGTGCAAAACCAGTTCATGTGTAATGAGTAATGGTTGGGATCACTGGGCATTGCCAGACACTTTACACCATTAAATATTCAAAGGAATCTGGGTAAAATCAGCCGGTGATTGATAGTGATTCATATTTCCCCTGGAGTGGGTCTAGAGGCGACATTTATTCCTTGACTAGATATATATGCTTTGCATTGAATGAAAAATTACATTATATGATGTCGCATGGGTATAATTCACAGTCAGACCTACTATTTCAAAATTACCATCAGAGTTAAAACCAAAGTGTGACTAAACAGACATGGAGGGAATGGATCAGTCTCCATGAGACTCTGCCTCTCGGGTCACGTGTCCTGCTGATCACTTGTCACATGGTCACGTGGACGGGAGGCTTTGGCCAGTTTCCTGTGAAGCTCTGTGCCCTCTGGCAGCGGCACAGCTGTCCCTAAAGCAGCTACCTCCCTTGGCTAAAATTAGGCCCCCTCCTCTCATTACACATAGCACATAATGCTTCTAATTTAGCCCACCGCCAAGACATGACCAGACTTGATTGTACATCATCATCTCATTAAGGAACCAAAACACGGATAGCTTTGCTGAAGGCCGCAGACGATTCTTCTTCTTATTAACATCCCTCTAGTCGATGCTGATGCCCAGTCACCTCCCACATGTCTGGTCTTCTTCTCCAGATCTTTTGATTTCCCAGTGGCATGTGCGTTGTTGTGATGATTGGGTCCCTCCATCTTGATTCTACACATCTCCATCCTCTTTTACCACAGAGTTTTCCAAACATTCAGGTTTTTGCGAAAACGCTGGGTTTTCTTGTAATATCCCCAAATTCATGAATGTTTATTTCATATTGCCTATCTATCTATCTATCTATCTATCTATCTATCTATCTATCTATCTATCTATCTATCTATCTATCTATCTATGGTAGAGTTCAAGTAAGGTAAAGTTCAACTTTATAAAATGCTTTTCAGACAAAAGTATATCTGTCGATTATGTTCATATTTATCATTTATATTCATCCTAATTATTTGTTTGTTTGCTTATTTAATATGTTTATCTTTTGAGACTAGTGTAGGATGTCTATTCCATCATGGACGTCTGATATAGATTTACGCATCCCCTGATATAGAATTACGCATCCCACTGGATGGAAGTTAAGCTTAGATGGGCTGTGGTACTAATCTGAATTAAACTGCCTGTCGATCCCAAGGTAGAATAACAGGGAGAAAGCAATAAGTCCTTAGTCTACAGTAAAGTTCCTTAAGCTGTTTTAGTTCCCCTTGGCTCTCTTGGCTTAAATATATCTCTGTGTCAAATATATTTTTAATGCCAACAGTATTTTTAGGGGTGTATTTCTGTGTTCTCTTAGAACAGGGGGCCTGCTGCTGGAAAGCTTTAATTACATTTCCTCTGCAGTGGGGGCATTAGCCAGAAATGGTTATGCTTCTTATCTATGTCACACACGATATGTCTATTATGCAGAATCCTATTTAAACCAGTTGGATTTCATGGAATGGCTTATAAACCTTGCATATTATCCAGAAACATCTTTGGCATCTTACACTACTGGATTTTCCCCACACAAGCATCTACACTCTCTTCTTGGTTAGTTTTTCTCAGTGTTCATATGGGGATTCTTAGCCAAAGTCCTGGCAGGCCCCAGTTTCTGCATTTATTTCTGAAGTTTATATAGTCTACAACTTCAATACTGAAAAAGAAGGCTGAGTTATTATAGGAATGATTACCTCAAGTGCTGAGTTGATACCGGCCATTACCAGCAGAGGGCGCTGTCTGACACTTAGTGTACTGGATGATATCTTGCCTGCTCCGGTACCTCGCCTCCACAGAGGTCCAGCGGCAGCTTTGAGAACCCCAGTGACGTGTTCCGCTTCCTAGTGGAGGAGAGGGTCCAGTGCTGCCAGTCTCGGAAGGTGCGCTACACCCAGAGGGTAGACTACATCATGCAGCTGCCCGTACCCATCGAGGCCGCCACCAACAGAGGTGAACACTAGATGAGTGCGGAACAGTGAACACATGGACAAAGAGTACTGCATGACTTTTTAAGGAATTCTCACAGTGTCAGCGCTGACCTTGGTAGGCAGTACAGAGTTTAAGTGAGTTTATGTAATTCTCTCGGGATTCGATGGTACCCTAATCTCCATCCATCCATCTCTTGTCAAGCACTTCTGCAGTACAGGGTCACAGTGAGCCTGGGGCTAATCCCAGAAAGCACAGGGTAGTGGACACTCTGGACAGGATGTTTTTGCTAATTTATAGAACTTAATTACATGTACTCTAAAGCAGTGTTTAGATTTTACTCTAAAGCAGTGTTTAGATTTTACTCTAAGGCAGTGTTTAGATTTTACTCTAAAGCAGTGTTTAGATTTTACTCTAAGGCAGTGTTTAGATTTTACTCTAAAGCAGTGTTTCCCAATCTGTTTCTTGGGGACTCACAGACAGTCTGGGTTTTTGCAAAAATGTAGACTCCCTGGCAGGGAGCAAAAACATGAACCGACTGTGGGTCCCCGAGGACCGGATTGGGAAACACTGCCCTAAAGTCTTTGATTGCCTTTCAGAGGAGCTGCTGGAGTACGAAGCGAAGCGGAGGGAGGCGGAGGAGAACATGACTCCACCTCCGCTCCCTGTCAGGGCCAAGGTCCCCTTCGCAGCCTGCCTGCAGGCGTTCAATGAGCCCGAGAATGTGCCGGATTTCTGGAGCTCTGCCCTGCAAGCCAAGTCCGCTGGGGTCAAGTAAGCCGGTCGCTGCCAGCTGTCTGGCTGAACCGCAGGGGGTTATTGGTTTATAGCTCAGCCAATCAAATCGAGTATCAAATCAATTTGTATTTTGTGGAAAAAAAAAATTGTAATTCAATTAAGTGTATGTATTTATTATTAACAACAAACGCAATTTGCTGTGAATATTAGTACAGTCAATCCATCTTGCATAACCACCATACACAGTTACTATCGGAATAACCATCAGAATAACCATGCTTATAATACTAACAAGTTTTATATGTGAAAAATACTTTTATCCTACTCCTGTTAAAACATATATGATATAAATGCTTGTTTACTTGGTTTATAGAGTTATCCTATGTGTTTGAAGCTAAAAATTGCTATGCCTATCAGTAAATCAGGATGTATAAACCTGTATTCTTGTGCCGATGTTCCCAGAACTTTCCGTTTTGCCTCATTTCCTGACTACATGGTCGTACAGATGAAGAAGTTCACCTTCGGGGTGGATTGGATCCCGAAGAAATTAGGTATGAGCAAACTTTAATTTTGATTTTAAGAGATCAGTGACCTGGTCTGTGGATACTTCAGCGATTATGCGCATGGGCTTAAACTGTAAGCTGTGACCTTGGGCAAGTGGCTTGAGTCGTACCTAAATCAATCTGGCAAAATACGTTGATGTACAACTGAAAGTCACTTGGATGAAAGTGGTATCAGTGAATATATATATATATAATTTGTATTTTACTATCCTGAAAATAAACCTGATGAGATCAGTCATTCGTTTTGTTACATTTCAATGAAGCGAAGCCTTTTATGAATGCTTTATGTATGACAGCCCAAGGTGTGGATATGGCACCCAGACTGAAGCATTACCACCGCGAACCAGTAGGTGGGGCTCAGAGGCTGCGTTACTGCTGAGTAACTGCTGAGTAAGATGTGCGAGGACAAAGCGCAGAGCGGAAACTCAACCTCCGTCTGATGTTCTCAGTTTACCTGAACAAAAAACACAAACGCTCACCTTCGGGTTAAATTCCTCTTAGCAGACATATCCCTGCAGAAAACAAACCCAATTAATGTGTATCTGTTTGTTCAGTATTATGTGGCTATAGTACTCAGATACTCGGTGCTATTGGACATTTGAATGTAAAACACTATACTGAAAAAGATCTGAAGCTTTACAATGGAATATTCTATAACATCCCATAAGAGTTTCATAGTGTTCCATAAAAATATTCTATGACATCACATTTCCCATCCTGCTTTCTCATGGCCCACAACAAATGGTTGTTTCCTGTCCTGCTGAGTGCCTTATTAGCTTATTCTGGCACATTATCGAGGGCGGTACAGTGGCACGGTGGTGCAATGGCGAGCAGTATCACCTCACACCTCTGGGACTAGGTTTCGAGTCTCCTCCCTGGCTCGCTCCGTACGTGGCGTTTGCATGTTCTTCCCGTGTCATTGTGGCATTTGCATGTTATTCCCGTGTCCTCCTGTGGTGTTCTCCAGGTTCTCTAGCTTCCTCCCACGATCCACAAACACGCTGAGGTGAATCGGAGTTGCCAGATTATATATATGCACCCTGCCTTGCGCCTATAGCTTCCAGGATGGACTCTGGACACCCGGGTATAGAAAAAGGGTCAGGAAAGGAAAGTGAGACACCTAGTGTTGTGGAGGTCATTACTGACCGCGTCACACAGTCCCAGTCACATGACATGTTGTTACTTCAGTACTCTTAGTTTAGTCATGTTCATCAAACTGAAAACTTTTATATATATTTCTGTTAATACGATCCCTTTATTTTTATCTTTAGTATGCCTTATTTATATTTTATAGATGTAGTTAATTGCTCAAGGGCCATAATTGATGCATTTAAAATGAAGTAATAATGAGCTGTATGTGGCCAGAGTTGGACTGGCATCCCATCCAGGGTGTACACTGGCCTTGTGCCCTCTGCTGACTGGGATGGGCTCCAGACCACTGACAAGGATAAGTGGTTGGAAGATGGATAAATGAGTGGATGAGCACTGAATTATTAATTTTAAAGGGCCAAAGATGTCATTTTTTTTTACTCCTAACAACAACTGGTTTAACTTAATGGGAAAATGAAAGTCTTCGGCTCGTGCCTTGAGGTTGGCAGTTTTAATTAATATCTTTATTTTGAAATGTAAGTGATTCATCTAATCAGCAGCTCCGTCACGCCTAATAAAAATCAATTCTCGAAATCGGCTTGTACCATGTGATGTAATGCCCGGGTCTGGGAAAGGCAGAGTAAGTGATACAGTTCTGGTTCCGTCCCAGCATGCATTTTGTTTCTGCCACTGAACAGGGCCAAACACCTGGAGGTGTAGGGGTCAGACTCTGACATACAATCTTATAACAAAGTCTGAAAGGTGGTTTCAGTGCAGCTCTCTGTCTGACCCCTTATGTCACTCTTGGTCTTTCCCCGGCGGTTTCTTTCGCAGACGTCTCGGTGGAGATGCCAGACTTCCTGGATCTCTCTCGCCTTCGTGCTACTGGGCTGCAGGCAGGGGAGGAGGAGCTTCCTGACTTGGCCCCGCCCATCGTCAACTCACAGGACCCCCGAGGTACCGCTCTGCTCGTGCACCCCACTTCCCCCCCCTTCACTGTCACACACTCAAGCTGTTCGCTCCGTTGGGCCGTGCCCCTGGGAATTTACATCCACTGATATTGATGCCCTCCCCGCCCCCCCCCCCCAACAAGGCCGCATCGGCCATCCCATGAACCCTAGCCCACCCGTCACCCCCCCCAGCATCACCGTCAGACTGTTGCATGGTCACCGCTTCCATCAGCTCCGGCCTTGAGGAAGCCCAGGCGATGCCTCTGATGAGCCATCTGTGATTGAGGGGGGCCCACATACGGCCCCCAGTGTGTCTGCGGGGGCCCAGGATGGCTGATCAGCTGCAGAAACTGGCTGCATCATACCACGCCCATCTCTGTAGCCAGCTTCATCCTTAATAATAATCACATCATAAGGATTCCTCTCTTTCTTAAAGGGGAGGGCCACTTGGTTTAAACCATAAGTGATTTGGACCCTATTTAGGGGGGCTTCAGCCACCACATTTTATATCTCAGCCTCCCCGAAAAATGATTTTTCTAAATCTATTTGCTGTTTTGTCCTGTATTCTTGTACAGATTTCCTACAAATTTTTTGCCCCCCGCACACAGAAAATTTTATCACCAGGGACACAAGAGGGCAGGGAGGTGGGGGTGGCATCCCGTACGTGTCAACCCTACTGGGGGCCCTTAGGGCCCACTTAGGGGTCAAATCCTAGAACGGCCCCCGTTTTAAACACATTATTCATCGTCTATGTTTATCCTGTATGGTGTGCTTGTTAAGCAGCTTTGAGACACACACACAACCTTTAATGGCCTTTGCCAGCCATAAATATCCCCCCCTGAAAGAGTGATTCGCGGGAACAGCAAACATCTGCTTCTGAGACGCCGCGCCGGGGAGCACGGCCTTCCGACAGCCTGCGCTTTCAGTTGCAAATTCCCGCTGCGGCTCTCATGCACGGGCGCACCAGTATCAATACATCTGTTTAGTCAGCAGCAGCGAGGAAACCGCGGTCATAACGGCGCATTCATAGCGCGGCCGCTTCTGTTTCGGAATGACAATGCCTTCCGATTGGAGCCTCTTCATCGGCGGCGACACAGGTGACCCTGTTCGCTTCCCGACGACCCTAAATGCGGCTCGACGACGAGCAAAAGCGATCTGAGCACCAAGCGCAGAGTCACTCAGGGCTGTGTTTGTCTCTTCTGTTTTTCAGGGAACCCAAGTACCTTCTCTGATTGTAAGTATTTATCCCGCTCTGTCCGACACTCCCGTTTCCTCACTGCGCTCATTCAGAAGCTAAACGAGCCCCTGTCTTTGTGCCACTCTGACAAGCACACCAGTCGAATGCTAACTTGGCTTTTGAGTATATCTTCGGCCTGTCGAAATGCCTATGAGAAATAAGTAATTGCTAGCGCTGGTGCTTTTTCATCCCCGTAATAAATGCGATAGCAACTATGAAATAATTAAGCAAAGGAATGTTAGGGAGGACAGGCTAGTGGGTCTGCTTATCTGCCCGTTGTTCTATATTGATACACTTCAGAAGACAACTTAAGTAGTAAACAGAGGGATAATGAGGTCTCCAGGGAGTGCTTTGTTTACGCGTAGAGGACGGGCTGTGCTCAGGACCGGCCTGAAGTAGCGTTCTGCATTGCGCCGGCCTTTCTCAGATCCGGAAATAGACGAGTCTTCGGTGGCACAGCTGGCGGAGATGGGCTTCCCCCTGGAGGCGTGCCGGAAGGCAGTGTACTACACGGGAAACATGGGGGCCGAGATGGCCTTCAGCTGGATCCTGGCCCACATGGAGGAGCCCGGTGAGTGAGGATCTGACCCGATGGTGCGGAGCTGGAGGCACAGCAGAGCGATCGAAGCCACCATGCGACACGTGAGCTCAGAGGCGTCAGAAGCAGGTTGACTTTGGGGGGGGCCGAATTTGCCCCAGCGGTGGAGGGGGCGATGTACAGCATATCGTGTGGGAAGGAAGGTGTGGGCGGAGCTTGCTGATTGGGGGATAGGTTTGGGTTAGGGTTAGAGTTAGGGTTAGGGGGAAAAGATCTGATCCACCCTATTTCTGACGCCCCTGCAGGAGCTTGACGCAGAAGAGCAAATTTCCTAAACACTTTCAGTCCATTTTTTGTCGTTTTTGAGACGAGACCCTGGGAATCAAAACCTCACTCAAACCTCATGTAATCCAACAAAGAACTTTTGTTAAACTCCAAAAATTCACTAAGCTGTGTCCCATTGATCGATTAAGGTCTGGAAATTTGCTCTTCAGTTCTGACTATTTCAACCACTAAACACAAATTTAAGATTACAAAAAGTTGAAAAGCAGAATATTGTAATATTACAGAAATAAATAAATATTAAAATATTCAAAGATAATAATAATAAATTAGTGGATGACATATAAACCACCTAAATTCCTAATGGAGAGAAATGCAAGAAATGCATAATTCCCACAAGAAGAGCATTGTGGTAGAAGTGTAAAGGTTGTGGGTTCAAATCCCAGGGATCATGCATGAAATTGTAATTGTATCTAAAGTCACTTTAGATAAAAACATCGGATAAATGAGTAATTTCACAAAGGAAAGTTGTAATTAATAATCAAATAGTTCATAAGACAATTCCAAAATGTCAGAGAAAGTGATGTAAGATTCGTTTATTTTTGTGTTGTTTATGCCGAAAGCTTTGCAGAATCGTCACTGGCAGCTGGGAGTGTAGCTTCAGCAAGTCGCCCGCTGTTCACCTAGACATATTTAACGGATATTAAGAGCTCACGCATTGCCTGTTACACCCCATTTATCTTCAGCCTGAGAGCTGGCAAATTAAAAGCCGGTGCACTTCGAGTCCCACACTTGAACCGGTCCTTTTATAGCTCCGATCCCACGGCACGGTGAAGCGGCGAGGGAGCGAGTCCTTAATGGCGTGGTCTGGGAAGGCGGGACAGCCTTTTCCTGTTCAGTGAGCCCGTGATTACAGTCCCCGCGTCTCGCCCTCGGTGACCTGAGCGGAAGCCCAGGGGACCCCCTCGCATTAGCGTTAGCGGCTGCGTCCCGGCTGCTTGTGCGTAAAGGTCGACTCATTAATGGCCACCATCCCCTCAGCCTTGGGGTCATATGAGTACCTTTTACTGCAGTTCCCCGTTCAGCCAGGAACTGGGCGCTTACTAACCACCGTGGCGCATGAATGATTAATGATGTTTCCTGTTTTGTTCTCGGCTAGGCTAAAACACAACAGTGCGTCTTTACTCAGTAAAAAAAAAAACAAACAGTGCTTTTACCTTTGGACTCCAGAGTGATGCTGGCTTGTCTTTAATGAGCAAAGACTTTTTTGCTAAGGCAGGCTTGTCCAGATTTGCAGCTGGTCGATGATAGTTTGAAGGGCAGACTACAGCCAAACACCAAAGGCGGTTTGAAAGGTATCTGCTTATTAAGTGTGTTTTTTAAAGGATTTCTTCTCTAACAAGCCCTATGAATTACCATATAAAATGTCTATAGGTTCTCGCTGAAGGCATCTCTATTTCTGTAGAGATTACTTCAAGCATGCTGCAATTTTCCAAGCCTTGGGGGAGGGGGGGGGATATTTGCAGACTACAATTGCAGCTTCTGTTTCGTTTCAAAAGCATCACAGGAAACGTCCACAAAGTTTTCTTTGAAATACAGAGATATTTTTCAGCTCGAATATGGGGCCACCAATTAATTCGCCGGACTAATTCTGTGTCAGTTGTGTTCGATGTTTTCTTTCTTGTTAAAAATGTTTGCTACTAATTAGTTTTCATTTACAGGTCATGCACAGTCGTTCTTCATCGTTTTCAGGGCTGTAGTCAGTGCCCTAAGACATGGCTTCACTCAGCTTTGTGATTTAACTGATGAAACTCTGAGCAGTGCAGGCTGGACCCGTGACTGATCTGGTCCCTCTGTCTTCTGTCTAGGCTTTGCAGAGCCCTTACCTGTGCCTGGCTTTGCTGAAGCTGCCCCCTCCGCCCATCAGCTGCCCTCCTTCCTGGGGGGAGCGCCCCCAGAGGAGAGCGTGGCCATCCTCACCTGCATGGGCTTCGCCAGGAAGCTGAGCATCCAAGCCTTACAAGCCACGGTGAGTCTCTGGGCTGCCAGCTCGGGCACCTTGATCGGGAACCAGGATCCGGGTCCACATCCTGGGCAGAATCCAGATTCCAGATCCAGTTAAGGAATCTAAATGTGGCACTGGATCCTAGTCTTGATTTAGATCAGGGATTTTTATATAATTTCTGGTTTAGTTACAATAGCTAATTAGAAGAGTCTAGCTGGAGGAATTATTGTCTAGACGGAACCTGAAAGCTAGACGGAACCTGAAAGCTAGACGGAACCTTCCAGGCTGAAAAGCGGCATCCTACAGGCTCCACGGCATGCAGTAGAGATCCTCTCTTGGACGTGTGTTTAGTTTAGCATGTTATTGGTAAACTGAACATTAAAGGTGTCTAAGGGACTCTCAGTGTGGGCATGTTCATGGGTGTAAATTATGGGGGGTGGGTTGCAACCCCCTCAGTAATTAGAACCGGCCAATACAACCCCCCCCACCCCAAATTCATATTGTCACGATGAATGGGTGTTACATCCTTGGCTATTTTGCTGTCATTTCATGCAATAATAACATGTTTATCTTGCTGGTAGAGTAGCATTAAGTCATTCATTGGAAGGGGTCTTGGCGGCGCAGTGCATAGAGCTACTGCCTCACACCATTGGAGTCCACTGCTCGAGTCTCTGCCCTGGCTCTACGTGTGTGGAGTTCGTATGTTCTTCCTGTGTTGTTGTGGGGGCTCCTCTGGGTTCTCTGGTTTCCCTCCACATCCACAAACGTGCCAAGGTAATTTGAAGATGCCAGATTGCCAGTATGTGTGAATGGTGAGTGTGCCCTGTGATGGGTTGGCACCCCATCCTGGGTTATTCCCTGCCTTGTGCCCATAGTTTCTGGAATAGTCTCTGTGACCCAGCATGGGACAAGCAGGTGTCGAAGATGGATGGTCGAGAGGCGTCTAAAGGCTCAAGCCATCTGCTGTATGATCTTTGTGCTAAATTGCATATGTTGTCCATTTTACGCATGTAGTTTGAGGAATAATATGTACATAGTGAAACAATTTAAGCATTCAAGGTGAAGCCAGTCATGAGGACACTGTTTAAAGCCGCGTTGCTGTTTGTGGGCACATTGCTGATGACGACAGATGCTCAACGTTCAGAGACCTTCAGCGTAAACACAGGGCCGCGATTCTGCTTCTCTCCGCATGTCCTGCGGCTTTCTGTCACGCCGTAACGGCCGTGTCGTCTGGAGCCTCTCAGCTCGCAGGCCCTTAATAGCTCTGCGTCGTGGTGGCGTGGAGGGATGGAAAATGCAGAATGCGAGTTCAGCCTGGGTCAGATTTTTTAGGGTCAGCATCTGGAAAATGACTGGGAGGCTGTGATGGGTTTACGCCAAGAACAGTGGGAGAGGCTCCAGTCGATACCTGGATCTGATTTTGTGACTATTTATGGTGCGAGAGAAAGAAGAGAAAAAAATGTGTGTTTGCTGTATCACACTCACCATTTTATGTGCAGGTCCTAAGGCAATAGAAAAGAACTGCCCTAATAACAAAAAAGAAAATGTATAGCATGACAAAAACATAAAATAAAAACATTCAATTTCGGAACAGCTTCACAACTGCAGGGTTTATAGTTTTATTTCAAAGTCCACACATCTTCATAAAGCCGTCGCAAAGTGTTATAAATTGCAGACAACATTTCCAAAATATACTCAGTCCACAGGATGTGTTTTCAAGAAAATTTCTGTGGATTTTAGTTTTTAGGAATTTAATAAAACATGTTCATGTTGAGCATATGAGGACTGAGTGAGTTTTGGTTCCCTCAACGAAAATTTCCCCCTTAGGTGAATTCCAAGGTGGGATTTAGTTACTGCAACGTGTTTGTCTTTCCTGTGGGTCAGAATAACAATCTGGAACGGGCCCTGGATTGGATCTTCACCCATCCCGAAGGCGAGGAAGAGAGTCAAGGCCCGTTTGAGGCCGCTGAGGAGGAGCCCACAGAAGATGACACCTTCTCCAACGGCTTCGCCTTCTCCAGCACCAGGGGCCTCAGCAGCTCCCCCCCATCCCAAGACCAGCTGCCCCCACCCCCCCGGGTGAAGGACGGACCTGGCCGTGAGTTTGGCCCCTAGCCCGCGTCCGGGTGTGCCTGCTTTACACCAAATTAAATGTTAAGAACATTCGTTATCGTGCTTCGGAACACAACGCAATAATTTCATCATTCCGACCAATTTGGACACAAGCATGTCATGTTACCCAGACGATTCCAATTCATAGCTAGAAGTTCTAGACCTAGTATTAGACGTTTTAAACCAAGTTTTTCTGTTGCTGTAGCAGAATTGCAGGATAAGTAATGTGTTGTGTTTGACCTGGAGTCGCATAAGGCTGCCTGGCCAAGGTTGTTGATTCATCATTAGGACACAATGAACTGGGAAACAGAGATGGAGCTGAAAAAATGATTTGTGGGGAGGTTAAATAGCAGCCTAGTGCAGGTCTGAAAAGCTCCTCGGAAACTCGGTCTGATGTTGTTGTTCGGCTGGGAAATGGAGGGAAGGTGGCCTAGGGTATCTGTGTTTAGCTCCAGTAAAATTCCCTTGTTCTTGCTCAGGGTATGAACTGTTTGCCTTCATCAGTCACATAGGAACGTCGACAATGTCTGGCCATTATGTGTGTCACATCAAAAAGGAAGGAAGGTGAGTGTATTTTTATAGCTCAGCAAGTCTTTATGTTGGAAGCAGGATCATTTCCGGTTAATACTGCTAAGAACATGTCTGTCAGTCAACAGCATTTGTATATTATTGATGTAGAACTGCATTTCTCACCCCAGGCCCCAGGGACCTCCAGACTACCCATATTTTTATTCCCTCCCAGCTCCCAAAGCACCTTAGTGTGTATGTTCTTGATTGCTTGATTGTTTAGTTCAGGTCAGCTGGGAGGGAGCAAAAATGTGGGCTGGCTGGGAGCTGGGAGGGAGCAAAAATGTGGACTGGCTGAGGGGCTGGGAGGGAGCAAAAATGTGGACTGGCTGGGAGCTGGGAGGGAGCAAAAATGTGGACTGGCTGGGAGCTGGGAGGGAGCAAAAATGTGAACTGGCTGGGAGCTGGGAGGGAGCAAAAATGTGGAATGGCTGAGGGGCTGGGAGGGAGCAAAAATGTGGACTGGCTGGGAGCTGGCAGGGAGCAAAAATGTGGACTGGCTGGGAGCTGGGAGGGAGCAAAAATGTGGACTGGCTGAGGGGCTGGGAGGGAGCAAAAATGTGGGCTGGCTGGTAGCTGGGAGGGAGCAAAAATGTGGAATGGCTGGGAGCTGGGAGGGAGCAAAAATGTGGAATGGCTGAGGGGCTGGGGGGGAGCAAAAATGTGGACTGGCTGAGGGGCCCCCAGGACTGGGTTGGGAAACACTTATGTAGAATGTTGCTACTACTAGACATGTTTAATTTAATAAGTAATTTTAATAAGTAATTTAATGAGTCATCTGCACATCGGGTTATAGGAGTCTTGGTTTACCATATATTTTTTTTAATAAGTGCACAGACTGACCTGACTAGTTTTATTACTAATTCCTACTTAAGTATGCAAACTGGGGCTTGATGATTGCTTTGCTCCCATAGGTGGGTGATCTACAACGACCATAAAGTCTGCCTATCAGAAAGGCCTCCCAAAGACTTGGGGTACATCTACTTCTACCACCGGCTGTCATGCAGCTAGGGCCGGGTCCACGGCTGACTCGGAACCCCAGGAGGAAGAGGGGCGGTTTGGGAGCCGCTGGAGTGCCCAAGGGGCTCGGCACCTGCCTATCATCATCAATCGGGAGGGGGGGGGGGCTTCTCTCAAACACGACACACAAGAGCCCCAATCCACCAGCATCTGCTGAAACGTGTTATTTGTGAAAGGTAGTGAGGAGATGCTTGTCAGTTTAGCTGTTAGTGTGAGCCATCTCTCTTTCTTTTTATTTTCCGTGCCTTTCACTCATTCAGTTTGACATTTAGAACAGGAGCCTTCAACTTCATTCAGGATCTGTTGCAGAGAACACCAACACCAAGTTTTAAATCGTGGTAAACAGGAACCGTGTACAACTGGCCAACGTAATGACTCCTTCTACAGAGGCCATTAGCGGGATTAAATCACTGCCGTAATCATGCTGCCTGATGAGTAGCCCTGCCTTTAAGTGGCTTGTAGGCTGTCCCGGCTCTGAATGCGTCTTTTTGAACCTGGGGGTTGATTGAGTGTGCCCAGGGGGCAATGCTGTGAAATCAGAATGTG